ACCCCTCCACCACTGCCCCCTTCATCCCCCTTCCCTCCCCCCACCCTAAACCCTGAACCCTACACCCTAGACCCTGAACCCTAAACCCTAAACCCTGAACCCTAAACCCTGAACCCCGAACCCTGAACCACAAACCCTAAACCCTGAACCCTGAACCCTAAACCCTGAACCCTAAATCCTGAACCCTAAACCCTGAACCCTGAACCCTAAACTCTGAACCCCGAACCCTGAACCATAAACCCTATTCCCTAGACCCTGAATCCTAAATCCTGAACCCTAAACCCTGAACCCAAAACCCTAAACCCTGAACCCTAGACCCTGAATCCTAAATCCCGAACCCTAAACCCTAAACCCTGAACCCTAAACCCTCAACCCTAAACCCTAAACCCAACCCCCCCCCCCCCAGGCTCCTGGAGCATCCCCCGTAGCTGTTGACAGACCTCCTCCAGCCTACAAGGCTCGAGCTGCTGCTCCATGATCTGCCTAGGGAGGGCTTGGAGGGTTTAGGGGTTTGGGGGTTTGGGGGTGTGGGGGTTTAGGGGGTTAGGGGTCTAGGGGCTTTGGGGTGTAGGGGTTTAGGGGCTTAGGGGTGTAGCGGCTTAGGGTGTAGGGGTTTAGGGGTTTAGGGTTCGGGGGTTAGGGTTAGGGGTTTAGGGATTTGGGAATTAGAGCTGATTAGGTGTAGGAACTATGTATGAATCGCGTAGGGAGTCTATCTTATATAGGGATTGTGTTGGTCTGGGGGTTCTGTAGTCATTGTGTTGGGACCCGGCGTGTGTTTGAAGAAAAGAAGGGAATTGGGATGCTTTAGGGATTTAGGGTTTAGGGGCGAGGTAGGTATTGCAAAACACTGGTCTTAGCGTTATCCATTGGAAGTATGATAAAGGACCATAGGATCTTGCCTGGTTATGACTTGGATTTTCCCTACCTGGGTTTAGGGCTTAGGGGTCTGGATCATGCGGTTTAGGGCTTGGGGGGGTTGGATTTGCGGGTCCAGGATCTGGAGTTTAGCGAATGATGCAAACCCCAACTTTTCGGAATGATTGCGCAGGTTCTAAGTACCCCCAAAATGGGAACCCCCGTTTTTTTGAAACCCTCTATATTGAGAACCGTCTATGTTGAGCTATAGGCTAAACTCCTCGTATCCCCCCTTGTAAACCCTGTAGTAGTCCCCCATATAATCCCTATATAACACCCTTTAAAGGAGTTTAGACCCTAAACCCTAAACCCTAAGTAACCCCCCTTAAGGCGTAGACTATGGCTCATATAAGACTCTCGGCTTTGCGCCCCCTGCTGAAAGGCACATCGTTCCAACCTCGGAACCTCTAAACCGCCGGCAATTTGGTATCTACCCTCATGTCATGGGTTCCCCTACTGCCTACTTCTATACTATATACCCCCCCAAGTTCCCCCTGAATGAGGCCTAGTTATCCCCAAATAATTTTAACTAGAGGGGGTAATAGGGGAACCCTTGATCATGGGGCCTGTTTCCGACTCCGAGGTGGGGATCCGGTAGGGGTTTGGGATATAGGGTTTAGTTTGTAGGGTTTGGGGTTTAGGGTTTTGTCGCTATTTACTCATGTCGGCTTTCGACGAGTAGAGGTTGGCCCAATCCCCAGGCTGCAACACGCACCAGACGTAGGGTCTCGAACCACTCAGGCGGTTTGACCGTTTCGGGTGTAGATTATGGGGGTTAGCAACCCTAAACCCGAAACCATTACCTGGAAATTAATGGCACTCCTTATACTATATAGTATACTGTATAATTTACTGAAATATACTATATAGTATACTTTAATAATGTATTAAAATATACTATATGATATTCTGATATACTTTACAATCTACTTTATAATCTACTTAAATATACCAAATAGCTTACTACACTAATCATAACAATAAGCACCAACCCAAAGACCCTGCAAAACAGCTTTGCCGTAGCGTTCAAGCCAACTCCAACCAAGCGGCTTCACAGCAGATCTCATGATGTCCTCCTTGACATGTAGGTACCTGGATTTAGGGTTTTTGGGCTTAGTGTTTGGGGCTTAGGGTTTTAGATGTCCTCTCTGACATGTAATTAGGTACCTGGATTTAGGGTTTAGGGCTTAGGGTTTAGATGTCCTCCTTGACCTGTAGGTACCTGGGACTTGCTCCGATTGGGCGTCTTCTTCATCAGGAGACCAGCAGACCCATCGGTATGAAAGGGATGCTGCCGGGGCGTCCTATTAAGAATTAAGTACGTCAATTATTCTGAGAAACTCACCACAAGGAATCCTAGACTTCCCCAAAAAAGGCACGGACTGCACACAGCTCCTCTTAAGCTAGGCTCCTCAGTAACCTAGGGTTTAGGGTTTAATGTTTAGGGTTTAGAGGAATATGAAGAGGGCCCTTTCTCAGTATAACCTGGTTTCAGAAGCAAGGGACCCAGAGCTCCAACAGCGGAAAAGGGGCCTCATGCCGAACCGGTTTCGTGTTTAGGGGTAATCGAACTGTATCCTTGATAGAGGCCAATTTACCCTAAACCCTAAACCCTAGGGTATATAGTCCCCCTCAAGATAGAAAATGGCTTAGGGAATGGTAGAATAAGATCCCCATATCCCCCATATTCTATCTACAGTACTTGAGAGAGACTATAGGGCCTAGTATGGGGTTAGGGGCCTCTTTCAGCAGAGACACAGTTCCCTATATGACCCCAAGAATCATCACTTCGGCCAAAAGAAAGGTGATATTTGGACCAACCAAACCGGGAAATACAGAGATCCCTGAGACCCTAAACCCTAAACCTACGGAGCGACGCCGGAGGATCCTTGCCTTTTGGAGCTCAGGGGGCTGTCAATACATGCTCCCACAACACCAGGATCCTGGCGTCTACCAGGGCAAGCTCCACTGGAGGGCTTGCAACTGCAGTCGCGAGGCCCGGGGGAACTGAAGCTCTGATTGTTCAAAGGCTGCATGCCCCCACCCTAAACCCTAAACCCTAAACCCCAAACCCTAAACCCCAAGCAAGGGGGAGGTGGTAGCCTAGGATCCATAAGATGTAGGGTTTAGGGTCTAGGGAAACAGCAGTCACGAGGCTGCCCAAAGTGCTCAAAACCCCACATGACAGAACCCGGGCCCCTGGCAGGATCAAAGAATTAGATCCCCTATATAAACCCATTATGACCACGATATAATCCCTTTATATTTCCCCCATGTGTTTGAAGCGATCCCAACGCCTTGAAACCGCCAAGGGCACAAAGCCCGAGCTGGGACCCCGAAAACATCTACAGCAATTCCTAAACTTACTTACCCTAAACCTGCAACCTTAAGCCCTCAACCCTAAAACCCTTAAGGTTTGTACCCTTGGGCTTGGGTCGCTAAACCATGGAATATGGCCCTTAGTACGGGTATTTGGGACCCCAACCCTAAGTTTACAAACATTAAGGGCACACACTTCAAGTCTTTGACCCTGCATCCCTTGTTTTGGCACAGCGGCTTCTCCAGCTCCCGGTACCGCGTGCACGGCTTGGATGCAAAGAAGAGGCCCATGGGCACCAACCTGATGCAAGTATATGTAGACTCATGGGCGTTATATGAACTATAGTCTAAATTTCTAGTATCCCCCTTAATAACCCTAACGTAGTCCCCTATATACTTTCCTTTAAGGAGTTTAGACTACAGCCCATGTAGCGTTCAGATTTGAGGAGGCTGAAACCAACCATAACTGAGAACCAAATGGACAAGAAAATGGACAATGAAATGGAATCCACTGTTTAGGGTGTAAGGTCAGGGTGGGGGGTTCTCAAAACAGGGGCCCTGGAGAAACATAGGGAATACAACGGGAGTATGCAGGTTCCTATTAGGAGTTCAATCAATATACGTGTGCATGTATATACTCTCTCTGACTCTCTGTATATGTACATATAGACAGACACATGTATGCTTGCATAGACAATCCTGTATACGTGTATATGCGCATGCATATGTGTGTGTGTCTGCTGGGTATGGTATGGTGTGGCGGGCCTGCACCTATAGATGACGAGGTAGATGTACATGATGTCTAGCTTTTGCGGCTTTAGGAATGTCCAAGTAGGAACCTTGTCAAGCATTTATCTGGACCCCAAAAGTATGTAAAATAATGGCCCTCAGGGCTGTTATTATGGGTTTAGGGCTATTATTTTACATACTTTTAGGGTTTAGGTATGGGCATTTGACTTCCTTGCTACAGGAACCCCTACCAGAATATGTTAAAGCTTGGGTCGAAATGCTTCGCAGCCCTGCCAACATCAGGGGTACCCGTGGCTAGGGTTCCCAGCAGGAAGCCGCAACAACACACATACGGCGTTTTGGACAGATTTCAGGGGCTGTCTAAGAAATAGGGCTTTTTGCGGGATTCATGGCTTAATGTTGAATTATCGGATGAAGGGCTTGGGGTATCAGACATTAGGATGTAAAGCCTCTGGATGCCTTAGAGCCTTAGCGGTGCTCAACTCACTTATTGAAGGGTTTGTTTGATTTCATGTTTTGCCGAAAGGCCAAAGGGTGGGTGGCTTCAGGTTTCAGGGTTAGCTCCTAAACCCTAAACCCGAGGATCGGGGATGCACGGCCGCTTTAAGGATGGAAACTTAAGGTTTGAGGCGGGACCAGCCTAGGGATGTAAAGCGGGCCACGATCCAATTCTTCAGCATCACAACCTGAAGCTCAACACCCTAAAGTCCCTCTTAAGTAGATAGAGTATGGCTTTGGGTATATTATAATCAGCTCCCCATATACCCCACATTCTATCTACTTAAGGGGGACTATAGCTTCAAGCCAGGAAAGCCTTCAACAATTTCTGCCACGTACGAGCCTGACACAAGCTATAGTCTAAACTCCTAGTATACCCCTTAATAACCCCAATAGTCTTCTATATAATGCCCTATATAACCCCTTTAAAGAGTTCAGACTATGGATCATGTGGAATGGCAGGCATGATAACATTAAGCTTCGTGGCTCTCTCGAGCCAGCGGCTTACAACTTTGAAAAATTGATGTTGGTCAGAGCACATATATAAGGAATAGGAATGCTGAAGGCAGGAGGGGGGTGATGCAGGAATTTGAGGGTTTCTGCAGTGGAGATCCAAATCCTACCCTTCATCCCCACTCTACACCCGAAACCCCAAACCCCGACCCCTCCCTAAATCCTGAACTCCTTCACCCTACACCTTCTTCCCTCGAGTAGACCAGCGGCTCGGCTACAAAGTCATCCATGGAAAACACCAACACCACGGACAGAGTGCCTGGCGTCCAGGCCCTTGGGGTTTCGGGTTTCGATTCGTGGCTGCTGGAAGGCCAAGGTAACCCAACGATGCCCAAAAGCACGTCCGCTAAGTCCCCAAGTATGGCTATGGTTCCTTCATAACTACCCAGAGTTCTAGTTTCTAGGTAATAACTACCTAGAGTTCCAGTAATACGTGCCTTATCCTTGGCGAAAGTAGGCTTGAGAGTTCCGTCTTTCATTTTCAGGTTGGCACTATGGGCTCCTGGCACGGCCCTCGATCCTGGGGTTCTAAAGGGGCTATATAGGGGTTATATACGTTTTAGGGGTTAGGGCTAGGGCTCTACCAGAAATAGGTGTACCTTGCTGGGTGTCCCCAGAATAAGGATTCTAACGTTTTGGGGTCTATAATGGGGCCCCCTATTGAAAGGAAACTACCATGTACCTAGTAACTGTTACTGAAATATAGCCTGGAAAACCCTATAAACCCAATGAAGGGCCCATACTTGGCACGCGGGAAACAACTAATGTTAGAGGCCCAGTAATTCCCTAAACTGTAGACCCTAAACTAAACCCCAAAGCTTCAGCTTGAAGGTTTGGGCCTCACCAGATGTGACAGCGAACTCTTGCATATAATCTACAGGGAAAGGACTTATCTCAGACAGCCCTCCATCTTGAAAATTCAGGGGCCTACGGTGGATGCGGAAGCCTTGCACCGCTTTATCTAACCTACACTCCACTACTTGCAGCATTTAGAGGATCTTAAGTGGTGAAAGATTTCTGCCACCCACAGTAGTAGTTTATCCAATCCGTCCTCAGGGCCCCATCAATCTATGCGCCAAGTTTGCGAATGAAAGATAAAATCAGATCACTATGCAGCCCCGAACCCCAAACCCTGAAATTATGGCCCAAACAACTCCCCTGGTGATTCGTATGGGTGGGGAAATGGGGAACAGAGACCATGAGAGAACGACTTATGTGAGCCATAGTCTAAACTCCTAGTATCCCCTTAGCTACGCCTATAGTATTCCCCTATATAATACCCCTTCAAGGAGTTTGGACTAAAGCTCATGTAGGGGCTACTACAGAGAACCATTCCGTGCAGCATTGTTCCCCACGAAGCACCAAACAAGCAAATGTGCCGTCGGCATCCTGCGTCCAGAGACTCTAGGGTTTAGGGTATAGAGAAGCCAAGAAATCCGAATCCAGTGCTGTTGGGGTTTGGGGGTAAGTTCCTAGCCCCGAACACAACAACTCCAAATGCAATGTTGTGAACTTGCTGTGCGGTTTCTACTGACTCCACCATCATCAGAGTAGAGCCTTTCGCGATCAAACCTCACAAGGTAGTAGTCTTCATCTTGAAAGACTACAGGAAGGACATACTCTTGCTATATGTTTGGGACGGTAGTATCCCCAAACCCCAAACCAGAAAACCCCGTCCCCAAACCCTCAACCCTAACCCTGAACCCCAAACCCCTAAACCCTTAAACCCTAAACCCTGAACCCTAAACCCCTAAACCCTAAACCCCTAAACCCTTAAACCCAAAACCCAAAACCCTAAATCCCTGAACCCTAAACCTAACACCCCCCCCGAATCACATTTCAAACATCACGGCCTGGCACGATGTACTGCACTGCCAGCTTGGTAGCTTCTAGGATGAAAGAGCCTTAAGCACACCAGGTGTAGTGTTTTGGTGTTTGCGGGTTTTGGGGTTTTAGGGTTTTGGGGTACTTGAGGCTGTGCCAGAATATGCCATGCTGACCAGAGACCACGTAGACACTCTCTGTTTGTGCCGCAAGAACAACTGCTCAGAAATGGCTGTACATAGCTAGTACGACCATACTTAGGCAACTCATGAGGCTTACAGTGTTTGATATAACTTCAGCTATATCTGCGTAGTATGTCCTGGGCCTCCAACCAGCATACGGATTGCAATCCACTGCACACATCTGAGCAATGTTACTGTGATGGTTGAACAAAGTAAGATCATGTTCTTCTTCTGGAGTGCTACAACCCAAAAACAAAATAGAATCTGTTTCTACGTCGCGAAATATACAATGGCAAAGGCCTGATTGCTCATGTTGATTGAACGGGAGGGGCATCCTGAATGTGATGTGCAGTCCCCAAGAGGGAAACATGACCCGAAGCCTTTAAACCAAACACATTGTTACGCCCAGGAAGCAACAAACCGTAGAGCACCTTCAGGGCAGTTAGTTGCACTTTGATAACCATATGAGCTATAGTCTCAACTCCTTAAAAGGGGGATTATATAGGGGACTACTATAGGGGTTAGGTAGGGGGATACTAGGAGTTCAGACAGCGGCTCATATGCGAGGACAGTGTTGCAGTCGCGGCACGGTCCTTCGAAAGAGCACTGGGGTCGTGCAGCAGCTCCTCTCACAGCTTTGGATACAGCAGAATTAATAACGTACGAGCCTGAATTGTCAAACAAGGTCGTTACGCTGAGATAATGCATGAGGCCTGGGGCCCAAATAGTTATTAATGATGAAATTTGTGAATCTTTTTGGTAGCTGTGCTTCGATTTTGCACTGATCTACCAGAACTAAGTGAAGAGTTAGAGTTTACGGCGTCGGGGCTAGTTGGATCTTCCGAGAGTTCTAGACTACTGTGGGGCCTACATAATCACTAAGATCATTTCGAAACCCACTTGAGGTACCTAAAAGAAGAGGAAGAAATATACAAGAAACCTAGAAGAACTATTGATTACGCAAGGAATCTAAAGTGATTCATAACGTTGGCAAGTATTTGGGCTTTTACTTAAGTATTCGAAACCTATGCGGAGCCTGAATCCTAATCACTAAGCCCTTAGTCCTAGACCGTGAACCCTCAACGCTTCCTCACCAAGCTTTAAGTTTTAGCGCAGGAGCACCAGACCCCCGGCCGTCAACCCTGAACTCGGGTTTAGCCTTTAGGGTTTAGGGTTTGCTCTTGACCACCTTCGACCCTGGAACTGCAAGTGCCTATACCTTATACTACAGACTCCGAACACTACACCCTTAACCCTACAGACCCCAAACTTTCCTCCCAGCTGGTATTGAGGATATGCTTCCCCTGGCATGATGCGTCATTGCAGGGGTGGCCGAAGGCGACCTGGAGACGACTTACTGGTTAGTAGTAGGGAATGGAAACCCAAAAGGGAAATTCGGGTAATTGAGGGGTTAGTGTTCAGGCTAGGGAAGGGAAACCAAATACGGATACATAAATGTAGGGTTTCGGATTGACTTGCTAGGTTGTCAGTATGGAGCGAAGGATTGGACAAGAAAACGATACCACCATATTTGGCGGCTGGTAGTGAGCAATGAAGGAATGGTAAAGAAAACTGCAACTACAAGAGTATTAGGCATCATATAGAACCTACAGTACTTACTAGTACAGGGGTGCATTGCCCCACTCCCTACCCTCAACCCTTAACGCTAAATAGTAGCTTCCATGTTTGTTTCCGCTCCTCCAGTCCCTACAGGTTGGGTCAAGAAGCTGGAAAGTGGAAGTAGGATGTCTCATGCTGCTGTTCCCTCTTCCTACGCCTTTGGGTAGGGGGATGCTGATGTTCCAACTTGATAGCTTCTCCAATTCTACGGTACTGACAACCACAATGGCGAAGGCTTGGCTTCGTAAAGATATTTGTGCCTCAGCCTGTATCAACTTCCTTGCAAAGCTATGATTGTTTTAGGCTGTGGGTAGGATAGTTGTTGGTTTGACATATAGATCCTGGTATCTGTCTAGGAAAAGGCTCCGTCACTTCTGCGAGTCTCCGCCGTCTAATATGTGATGTCTCTGCTACAATCCGTCGAGCGACGAGCACCCAATCAAATAGTCTAGCAATGTGGCTCGAATGAACTCTTTGCACGTAGCCCAGAGTGGTCTATCCGCTGATACGTGGCGCCTAGGACCCCACACTAAAGGTTAATCCCAAGGTACCTATGATAGGAGTATACGGGAATCTCAAAGGGTCAAGGGTCTAAGGTCCAAGCCAAGTCCGAAAGAGTCTAGGAACCCTAAAAGAAGCGCCTCATGCGCAAGTGTAAAATCTGCAAAATATATGCTACCCACACAAGGGGGAGTAGCACAGAAAGCAAGACAGCTCCATCCCCGACGGCAAGACACTCTCTTCCGGGGTACGGATTTCACGGCTTCGCGTTTACGGTTTAGACGTTAGCGTTTTGTGGGGTCCAGGGTTCAGCGTGTGAGCCCCCTTTCATTGCTAGGGCTTTGCGTGCCCAAGCACTTCCTGAAAGAGTTTGCCACCGCGACTGCAGGCGTTTCTAACATTATGTATGGCTCTATATTGTATCAGGGGGTGGTCCTTCTAGAGGCCTCATGACACATAATCAAGTGTATAGGGCATGCACGGCACGAAAGCCTAAACCCATACATCTGGCAATTCAGAACATACATTGAACAACTCGCTCCCTGCCCAATCTCCCCAACTTGCCTATCGAGGCATTGCCCCGCTCACGATCTGCCGCTCACATCCCAGAACGCCGAACCCTGCACTCCACAACCCTCCATCAGCCTACCTCTCACCCCAATTACTTACGGTTTTGTAGTGGTTGCTTCTTAGTTGCAGGCAAAACACATACGAATACACGCCAACCCTGCCCCATAACATCCCCCACTTCAAACCCGGACCCCCATCCAGCCAAGGACCATTTGGGGTATAGGATTTAGGGTTTAGGGTTGAGTAGGGTTCAAAACGAGGCCCCCCACAACCAGAGCAAATTCGTCAGGACTCCTTCATTTCAGGTCGTCAATTGATTACCCTTGCCCTGCACGCAGTAGATTCCAACAAACGGTACCTCAACCTCATATTCTGAAACGTAGACACAAACTAGTACTTTTGGGATATCTCCCAAATCCAATCATACTGGTCAACTGCACCTGATAACTATACCCTAATAATGAATATTCCGGATGTTGTACATTTGTGCAAAATGGGCATACTTGTTATCAGGAATCCATACTCACTTTAGCCATCCGACCATTAAAGTGAAGTGCGCGAGGGCGTGGAGGAAGATCACTGAAAGGGCCACGCCGCATTTGAATCCCAGGCGCTTGCCTACAGGTTAGTGGATTTGGGTTTAGGGTTTAAGGTTTGGGCGTGGGGTATAAAGCATAGGGCCTGAATAGCTGAAATAGCTTTCGGGTATCACCTATAAGGATTGAAGACGGAATGTCGAATATGAGGAGAACAATGCACTTGTAACTCAAACTTGCAGCCCTCAGCTTGGTTCATGTTGTTGTAGTACCCCTTACTATGCGCCTTCTGAAAAATGAATGCTAGGGGTCTACGGTTTAGGGACCCTGCTTGAAAAAAAACTGAAAAATCGATGAAGACCGGAGATTTGCTGGCGAGGACTGGGGGTTCCACTTCGAGGGTATACGGGGTTTCCCAAGATCAGGGGTACGTTTGGGATACCTATATTAGGATTGGAATATCAGCAACTATACTGGGGTCCCCCTATCCCGAATAGGAGGTGCCTAGAAGAAATCCTTGCCTAGCCAACCCATCCTACGTCCTCCTCCTATACTCCTCCTCCTCCTACTACTACTACTACTACTAGTAGTAGTAGTACTACTACTACTACTACTACTAGGTAACGGTCGCGTTTATGACGGCGTCATTTTCTCCACTTCGCCCTACTGAACCTGAGGTTTCGCGCGAATTTAGCATAAAGTCCACCGGCGCGTTTTCTTGCCGATCCACATCCTAATGATTGATGGTCTGAGTCGTTAGTGCGTTTTATAG